GGGCTCCCCATCTCCGGACAGGGCTCCTTATCGAGTTCAGCACAGCGTGTACTACCCATCGTTATTTGGAGTTCCCGTCCTTCGCTCATCTGCTGCTCCCAGAGCTCCCACGACACAGCACTGGCTTCTGTGCAAGCAGCGGCTCAGAACACCCTCCGACCTACAATGCTGAATATGGGTCCAGCTCGTAAAAGGCTCTCCATCACCCCACATTGCCAAGGTGATGGTCTGGTTCTGCTGTGCACCATGCTGCTTTCCCAAGGTGGCCTGGGGATACTTCAGCTTGGTGCTGCCAGAAGAACTAAGGAAGGGTAGAGATGTTTCTACACTTCAGGCTCCCCAGAGCCTTACTGCTATAAAGGAAGCATATTCAAGCTTGCCAGGATATGGCCCAATGTTCCCAGAGGGACCTCATATCCCTTCCCAGCAGCCCTGTATAGGAGACAACAGCGGAAATGGGCTATGCAGGGCTCCCAGGAGAAAGGCGCACAGCGGCCTGCAATCCTCTCCCACTCTGCTTACAGCCCACCTCACCCCACAGCTGGATTTAACTGCAGAGAGCAGAGACTAAGTCACACCTTGTCCTGCTGCAGCAGGACCGAGGCAGTAGAGAACACACCCCTGTAAGTGCTGACCAGGAAAGAGAAAAAGAAGCTATTTCAGCTTCCCCAGAAATCACAGCAAAGGGATCAGTTGCCTTGGTGGCTCGTGCAGAGCAGGGCTGAGGCTGCAGCAGTGCTTGTCCACCTCTGCATTCATCACGCTAGGGGGAATCAGCACTCCACATTTCTCCCTCGAACAGCCACTGAGCTAAGAGCTCCGAGCTGGCCCAGAACGGCCGCCCTCATCTCTCCTCAGCTGTAGCTGCAGAGGAAGAGACAAAGACCACTTTATTGAGACTGCTGGACCCAGACAAGCCTCCAGCCACATCTGCATCATATCCCCTCATGGGACCCCACCATCACTCAGAGAGAAAAGCAGGCATCAGCTTGGGTAACCCCAGGACCTGCTTCTACTGCTGGTCTTTTAGTCATCAGAGTTGGGGCTCAAAGTTTCATCAGTTGCTTGAGATGAGTCAAAGCTGTTTCCCTTCTGAGGGGCTGACTGTACGGGTGAGATACAGGACCACATTAAGTGTGTCATGCTGAACAACCAGGATGTCCCCCTTCCTCCCCAATCCATGAGTCTTCAATGTCCCAGGTGCAGGCTTGAGACTTACCCATAAGGGAACAACTCTTGACCAAGAACCCAAGCAACCGTAGCACACACAGATTACGATGCAGAGAGAAACTTTTACTACAGGGATCCTTTAAAAAAAAATCAGTTTATTTAACCTTACAAATGATAAATAATTTGTTAAAAAAAAATCATTTCAAGTGTATTTACTTCATGTAGCAATATTAAAATACCTTTCCCTTCTCCCCCTTAAGTGATCAATACAAAAATAATTGTGACCAAATCTTTTCATCAAAAATTTCTGTGTTTTAGGCAAAAAGGCACATCGTGAAGGCTTTTCACCTGGAGGTACAGGGGTTCACAATGACCCAACAGCTTCCCTCCCTTCCATGCTTGTTCTAACTTGAATGGAAGAGGACACAGGCACCAGGCAGCACTTCTGCAGTGTCTATTTGTCTGATGCCCTGCAGGTATACACCAGGGCCAAGGTCAGCTTCAGTGTCATCCCTGTTTTGCACACAAGGGAAACCAAGGCACAGCAAAGCAGTACAATTATCTAAGAGCTTCTTGTGAATAGCTGGCAGAATAGGACATAAAACTGGATGTAGATTTAGAATGTTGTCTTCTTCAAAGCAAGAGTGTGAACCCACCTGGGATCATCCTCCCCCCTAGCAACCACAGTGTTGTGAAGGTAGTCACAGGTCTCTAGATGTTTCTTTCTTAGTGGGAGAGTCACAAGACCAACACAAAAAGTTGGGCCTTCACTAGTCTACAGAGGGATTAATTAAAGCCCTACTTACCAGCCCTTTAAGGCCAAATGTCATTGCTAGGATATATCCCCCCCCATTACATCTTCTAGCCAGAAGAAGGATATGACAGCCAGTCAGACACTAGAAAAAGCTACAGGCAGGCTCTTGCTTTGAGTAGGCTTCGTACCTTCCTTGTTCAGGGTATGTGGTTCCATAGATCAGCTGTTTTCCCATTGGGAAATGCTGTTGTGTCACCAAGAGGTGCTAAAGGGGTTTCTTCGTTGTCAGAGATGTTTGACAACCCAGGTCATCAAGACCATTTGTCTCCCTGCCCTGACCACTCATCAGGATGCTCGAGGCTGATAACTGATCAGAGCTGCCCCCCTTCACATCTGCTAACTCCAGAGCAGGACAACACACACCCCTCCCAGTGCTTCACCCCATCTCCTGCTTCTTCCAGGAAGCCACATCTCCCAGCAGCTGGCAGGAGAGCATCAACAGGCAGTGAGCTGAGCCTGCTTATCACAGTATGACATGGGGAGGGATTCACAGGGGGCCAGAAGGAAAGGCACACACACAGAGCTCTCCTGGTACAAGGCACCACTGTGAACAGTATTCCTTCTTTGGAGCAGGAGGCCCTTATCATCACAAATGGTGGCAGAAGACAGATAAGGTGCCCCTTGAAAAGATCTGGCCTGGCTCTGCTAAGTCTCCTCATCCCAGAGACATAGCTGCTTCTGTGGCACATAATAATCAAAGGTGTAGCCCTTCTGGCAGCTGCGGATGCCACATTTGTAAGAAGAAACCTTGCCCCCAGCATCACGACTCTTGCAGTACTTCAGCATGCATGGGTACCACTCGATGCTCAGTGTGTAGCTGCAAATGCAGGGCTTCCAGCGGTCTGCACACAGCTTGCAGCGCTGCAGGTCAGGGAGATCCGATGTCTGTGGCAGGACCTCGAACATGGAGCCATCCACCCCTGCAGGAGAAAGCAGAGAGACACTGCTCAGGGCACTGTCAGAAGGGCAAAAGTGGGAGCCACCAAAGCAAGTGCTGCTCCCTCTACGCAGTGTCCAAGACAGCAGAGTAGAATGAGGTTAGACAAGGGCCGCTCAGACACGAGTCTGAATAGAAAGCATGGGAGAAGAAAGAGCACTGGGGAAAGTAAGCCAAAAGATACACAAAGTGCATTAAGAACATATTTCTTTTGGGTGGTGGAGCAGGTGAAAGGTTACCTTGAAAATACCTGCCTAATTAGGTTCACTAGGAGAGCACCACCAAAATAAAGATATACTGACAAAGAGACTAGTGCAATGGGACATGCAAGCAAGCGATACACACCTTATTCACTGTTAAAGAGAAGCCTAAGTGATCTGTGCTGATCACCAGAAACCTGGCAGGAGAGTTCACAGCAGAGTGCCAACTTGACAGGAGCAGTACCAATGAAATCAAAGGAAACTTGCCTTTCTCCAGCCAAAATTTGACATCTTCTTCTCGGGTGTAAATTGCTTCTTTGGCTTCTGCACAGACATTGTGGATGTGAGAGCTCAGCTGGGCCCCCTTGCTGAAGTTGACAGCCACATCCATGCTGAGATGCTCCAGGCCACGCACCTCCTCAGCCTGCCGCACTGTCCTGGGATTCTTCTGTAGAGGACGAAATAATGAAAACTTGGGATCCTGGCTGCAACAAATTATTCCCTATAGCACGTTGTGATTTCATGCCAGCATAAGATGGGCAGATGGATGTTCCTCTGGAAATGCACCTGCATCCTATCTGGGTGGAAGGCACTTAAACTTCTGTTGATACCGAAACTTACGATAGTTTATCACTGCTCTGATTTGTTTCTCAGTGAATCAGTTCTTACTTCACTGGGCAGTGTGAGGCAGAGATTTTCATGGCATTGCTCTAGCCATGCACCTACCCTTTGATACAAACTAGGCTTGACTAAATCATGCCTCCTTCTAGTATATTAATAGAATGGAATCAATACTGTTGATGAACTCAGTTTAATACCGAGTCTCTCAAGCAGGAAGGGTGGTCAAAGGTAGGTCTAATAGCTGAACAATCAGGTAGCTGCCTGGGAAGAGTATCCAGAAACCCTGGATGGACTGGGATGTGAGCTGGGACTGAAACCAGCTGCAGGTTGCCTCTTACCTGCCGCAGCTTTGCCATAGACTCACTGGGGATGATCTCGTTGCGGTGAAGCCGTGTGATGAAGCAGAGCGCTTGGAACTGGCTCTGGCCCCTCTCCAGCTCCCCCAGGATTAAGGCACGGAAGATCTTCACCTCCTGACAAAGAGATAAATAAAGAGACTGAGAATCACAGATCTGTGGCATAACTGGGGTGAACTGAGAAGTCAGGGTCAAAGAGAAAGGCTCCAGCCAAAAGAACAAAGTCAAAGGTCTCACATTTCTGCTACCTGAGCATAGGGGTGTAGTTCCCAGGTTCAATCCCACCCAAAAGCCTGCAGCATAAATAACTGGTGCCTCTAAAGAAAGCAAGGGTTTTCGCAATCTCCCTGTGGCAAGGACAAATTGCTGCCAGGTCTCATCCCGCATCCATGGCTTCCTCAAACAGCTGGGGGTTTCTGTTCTTTATCAAGAAGGGAGGCAAACCTACAAGAAATCTAGTTTTGTTTTGTTAACGAAATATCACATAGCCATCATCTCTATGTATTACTTAGGGCAAGCAGACCCAAAACTCCTTTGCAGCCTTCCCTCACTTGTTCCCACACAGTCCAGACAATGATAAGCTCCCTCCCAAGTTGGTTCAGGTCCCAAAGTACCACTTCCAGAATATACAAAGGGTTTCTGGGTTTAGTGACACTGTTCAGTGGCGCATTCGGACAAAGGTTTCAATTATTTAAGTGTTTCTAAATTCCCAGCACATAGGAAAAACTGTGCAAAAATCGCCACTGGAAGAGCTCGTTGGTAGGGGACGGAAGGATGCTTCTCCCTGTGTCCCCAGTGCTTCTGGCCTGTGCCCCTCTGTCAGCAATGTCTCAATCCATGGCACCTAAAGGAAGCCTTGCTTCACCCCTATGTCGCAAAGCCTTGTTTGGCTTTCCCTAGCTTCCCACCTCTCCCTGCCCTGACTATGCAACCTCAGGTGAAGCAAGAATTGAAGCTTGTCACACCATAAACGTCTCATACTTCTCACACGGAAAGAGCCACTGAGTTTTTCCTACTTAGAGAGAGCACTTTTCCCTCCCCACCTCTTCCCCACCAGCAGGAGCAGGGTGAATCAGTGCCAAGGTGGGTACCTGGCCAAGGCAACAAATGACACCTTTAATTCTGGGTCTCTGCAAAACTTCCCAGCAGGGAACAAGCCCCAGCAGAACATTGCCTTTGCGATGTGGGGACTCTCCAGATGAACTCATCACGGGGGCGATAACAGTCCTTGGCCCTGACCCGCACTCATGTGGCGGGTACAGTTACAGCTATTGTTCAGCTTTGGATGACAAACGCTTGGTGTTACAGAGAATAACCAGTTCTGCAGCCCTGCTCTAATCATGGCACTGGAGGTAACCACAGCCTTGGCCTTCATAGCAAGCAGAGAGCAGCTCCTCTTTCCTTATAGCAGAAAGGAAATCAATGCATTGAACTCCCAGCAGCTCAGGCTGCCTGCATCTACCAAAGGGACTTCCAGTAAACACTAGCCTGCAAGGAGCATCAGGGAAATCATTGAACTCTTTACCTCCTTTCCCTCCAGGGACTGTCATCTGAAGTACATGAACAATTCAACCTCCCTTTCTAGTCCATTTCTAAATGATCCAGTAGAGGCTTACAAGCTTGTGTGGTCTAGATCTGAGACCAGCACCTTGACTTCATGTTGAGTGGGGCAAACCAGTTCCCAGAGAAATAAATTATTTCAATGCCTTCCTCCCTGCAACCCATTCAGCTTTCCTGCCAAGTTTCTCTCCCCAAGGACATCAGTGCTGCTGTGGGACCACTTTAGTCTTTGTTGTTGCATTCCAGGTACATGCAAAGGGCAACGTGCTGCTCGGGGCACTGGGTAACACCAGCACTCCTGGACCATATTCGTTACCCGGACAGCAGCCTTTGCAGTGGTCAGGGCCCTGCTGCACTGCCCCAGGGGAACAGCTACAGCTAGCCAGAAAGTCCTTGTGCTTGTACAACAGAGAGCATGTTACTGCATCCACATTGGGGGCCCAGCCAGCTGAGTTACCCTGAATAGGTAGGGGTTATGTTTTTAACCTCTCTCCTACTGGAAATGACTAGAATGAAGAAACTTTGGTGTCTTGCCTCTTATACTACAGTATCTATAAAGGTGAATTTGGGATGTGCTAGGGGGGAATCCACATTTTTGGGAGCAATAAGGTTTGACACTGATTCTTACAAGCACTGAGCAGTTGGAAATCCCCACATTGCTCCGAGATGTTTGGAAAAACATCCTCTGGTTAAGCATCATCATGCTCGGCACCCACAGCCTGAGTGATGGCTAAAAGTAACTGTCAGAGCCTCCTTATAACCCTCTTTAACATTTTTGGTATCTCTACAGAAGAGAGACTGCTTTGCAAAGTACACAGATATAATCTTTGGACAGATGTTTTCCTGTATCATCTGGTCATTTAGCATCTAACATTATGAGCCCTTGGGGCACAAGGAAATTCTCAAAACAGCACCTAGAATATCACATAATATTAGCTTTATTAACAAGGAAACGGAAAAGACTGGCGCTGCAAGTGTTAAAATACCATTGCCCATGCTTTCTCCCTTGTGTTTCCAACACAACTTTTCCAGCAATCAAGAGGAAAAAGAAAAGTTTCTGTATATTTGTGCTGACCTTGCATATAACCACCCACTTAGTTCTCAGGCCACTGCTTAACAACTGGCGAGATCATGCTATTCAAATTAGACACAACATTTAGGGGTGCTGTCTCCCTCACTCATTTTTGTAATGAACTTTATGCCTGACAGCACTATGCAGGAAAAGAAGTGCTTTCATCACATTCTTTTTAATTACAGGAAATGATCTTCACTACTGCACTGCCCAGAAAGCATCAAGTCCCAGTTTGGACTCCTACTGACCAGTCTGTGCTGCACTAGAGAATGAGGAAAGAAACTGGGGTGCTCTGAGGACACAAATCCTTCAGGTTCAGCTCTGGAGGAGAGGCAGGGATGGAAGAGCAACTAAAATCCCACTTCTCTGGGAGCCTTAGCCACCACTCAAGTACCACCCAGCTTCCACCACTGTCAGAGCAGAGCAATGTACTGTGATCTCATTCTAAGTCCTTTCTTCTCCAGTCTAGCAGCAACTCCTTGTCAGCAAAGGAGAAAAAAAGGTCTGCCTTTGGACTAACCCCCCGCAATTTAAGCCAGAGAAGTGGAAAAATCATTTGTGCAAAACCTCAGCATCCTGGCCACAGCATGACCACACAATCTAGCTTGGGGAAGCCAGATCAACAACCCCAGCTGCTTTTACCAAGGCTAAGAGCCTCAAGACCTTCTCTCTAGAGAGGAGAAGTTGTGTAATCTTAGAGAGATGAGTACCACAGCAGAACAGGGAAATGCCTGCATGCAGCCAGGGGAAGCCTGGCCAGGCAGCTGCCTGCTCACATCATTACTCACTGCACCACAACCTCATCTCCTCAATCGTTTATGTTTTTCTGGCCTTTTCCAGCTACTTCCCAGCAAAACTATGGAACAGAGAGGGTCTGTACACAATCGCTTTAAAACTGAGGATTAGCAATGGACTTCTGCAAGCCTGATGCTTGCCAAGCCTTCCAGCAACCATCTCCTGCGTACTGACAGCATGGAGCTAAGGATTTAACACACTTAAGTCAAGATATCTTCAGAGAAGCAGCTCATCTATAATAAGAATGAAAGTGAGATAAGAGCCAAGATACACTTTGTTGGGTTTGTAGATGAGACTTGAGAGCAAGCTCCCCTCAAGAAGAGCTGAAGGAAGTGAAAAATGCTGAAATGATCAACAGCTCAGGACACCAGAAGTCCCCCTGTCATATCCCACTGATCCCTAAGGGCCTACTTAGAGGAATTGTAATGAGTTTGAATTTCCCTTGGCTAAGAACACACTACAGTATGCAAGTTTTGACTTAAATACCCTTCCTCCCTCCGTTAACTTCCCTGATGTGCCATGTCTTGCCTTTAACAGGAATCATGGGGTCTGCTTTCCTGCATGTGTGCTGGAGTACACTGAGCATGCCATCACCTCCAAAATCACCATGGCTTTTGCTAGCATCTCAGAAAGAGGTGGGCTTGCCTTTGCACCTTCCGGATGGAAGAGGACCATCCGAGATGCTTACAAGGAGACTGAGACCAAAGAGTGTAGCTGAAAGCAGAAGAGGCACCAGAACCATCCCTGGCAAGAGGCTCCAAGGTTCACAACAGGTTGGGACACAACGCCTTCCTATCTCATGGCTTGGAGCTTCCTCCTGCTGCAAACCAAAGTCCACCTGAGTAAACACTCTGAATGGAAGGCTGGAAAGAGATAACACCTCTATGCCACTGGACATCCGTACCGCCCACATGGTGGCAAATAGCTCTTCCCTGTGCAACATAAAGCTTGATGCATCCAGCCAGCATCTGAAGCATGCCATGCTGGCCCAGAAGCTACCATTTACTTCTTAGTGTGGGATCCTGGGCTTCAGCTCAGTAGGTATCATCTCCTTGCAGACAGACCATCTCTTGCACACTGGGCTGGGGGGAAAGGCTCCCCTTACAGGGGGTCTGTTGTCAGCCCCACAGAGAGCTGCCAGTCAAGCATTTCCCGCACCACAAACGTGCTTCTAAAGACAGCAGGAGTCCCCTTATGGAGCTAACTGTACCCCATACACATCATGGAGAGAGATGTCCTGAAGACAGAGCAAAGCATAAGAACCCTATCCAGAAGGGTCTTCCCACTGCAGACTCTCCTGCCCAGGGTACAGAAGCAGCACAGGGTACAGGTGTAACACCACTGGGGACAGCAGCCTGCCTGAAAGACTTGGAGCTAAACATGAGTGAATTGCTCTGTAGAGACTGCAAACACGGACCCCAAAATGTGCTGGATCGACTTCTCCTTGCACAACCGAAAGGACCCTCGATCCCTCAGCCAGGGTTTTCCCAGGCTCCAACTCAGTCCCAGGTCCGGAAGGACCTCGGGTACCGCTATCACCAGCGCTCATACCAGAGAAAACACACGCCAGAGCCCTGACCCGACCCTCTCGCCGACCCGCGAGGTGTGATGCGCCAGCATTCCCATGCCGCAGCCTTTGATCTCCTCAGGGAACCGCTGTGGGAGACCAGAACCGCAAAACGCGCTGCGGGTTATCCCACCGCCGCCCTCCTCAGGACTGGGTGACCACGGATGGAGACAGGCTCCCAGCGCACACATCCTCCTCGGGGAACCCTCCTCGCGGCAGCTTCCCGTGCTCGCCGGGGATGCCTCTCCCGCGGGGCTGGGACGAGACAGCGG